AATTTCAACAGAAAGGAGGAGACCATGAAAATGAACAAAATCTACCAGTATTAAAAACTCTAAAATTACAACAGCAAAGCAGCAGAGAGCAACAACCAGGCACATCTTAATACCTCTCAACAAAAGATTTTCCCAGGCTCAGCCAGGCCTTCAAATGCTAATGAAGGTGGTCAGTTGAAACATTCATATCTAGCTCCAGCAGACAAGCGTCCTTTGTCCCACCCATGTCATTCCACAGATATATAAACCCATTGTCCTAGTTCCAACAGACCTCACTCCCTCTGAGGATGCTTGCCATAGATGCAGGCGAAACATCAGGAGAAAATGCCTCTAGAACAAGGCCATATAGCCTGAAAAAAACCCACAAGAACCTATTTTGGAATGTTTTATCTTTTGTTCTCCCTTTATTTCTTGTTCATTCATTTTTAACATACTCCTATTTTTCTTTTGCATCTCTCTTCTTAATTGATTTGCCAGCTGTTTTCCTGGTTTATTTGAATGTTCAAAATGTATTTTCTTTGCAAATTTTAGAGTCTTTTCCATTTGATGCACATTGATTAACATGGAGGCTTGTTGACGAAGTTGTTTCAGCTCTTGTTTAAGTTTTACATAATTGTCTTTCTTTTTCTTCCATCTCCTCCTGTAATGCATCATTTTGCTGCCTTTCCTATTTATGTATTGAATTTAATTAAATCAATTTTCTATATATTTAGCTGGATCAATTTTCCTCTCATGTAGGCTTTACTTGTGTCCCATTCAATTCTCAGAGATGTTTCTTGATGAGTATTTATTTGGAAGAATTCTCTAATCTCTTTCTGATATTGATCAAGATTTTATCAGTTGTTCAAAATACTTTCAATAATTTTCCAAATCACCCACAAACCATGAGCAACATAATAATGAAATGGGCATTCGGAACATTCTGGTTATTCACTGAAACACATTCTTCAGAATGAATCGTTGCCTCTCTTCCGTTTCTTTAACCACATTTGGGGTTGACCCAGTGGATTCAGTGTGACCCTCTAACATAGAAAGCGGCAGGGCCGTAGCCAGAAAAAAATTTCAGGAGGGGTTTAAATTTTCGCGGGGGGGGGGGGTTTGAAATTTTCGCAGGGGGGGGGTTGAAATTTTCGTGGGGGGGTTGAAATTTTCACGGGGGGTGTGAAATTTTCCAGGGGGGGTTGAATTTTTGAAATTTTCACCAGGGGGGGGTTGAAATTTTACGAAGGGGGGGGTTGAAATTTTTCCGGGGGGGTTGAAATTTTCGCGGGGGTTTGAAATTTTCACGGGGAGGGGGGTTGAAACCTGCCTCTTAGTTCACGCTGAAGCAAAGAATACAGCAGGGGGCAGAGCATCCTTCAATAGCCTGCAGCTCCGCCCCTGTCAACCACCTCCACCAAGTCTGGCCTCCTTAATGAGAGCATTCAACACACACACACCCAACTTGGTTGCTTCACTACATCGGCTATTGCTGCAAGTAATGACAGTGTGAATAAATTGTCAATATTTGCTTGAGATAGTGCTTGCAGTTCTGGAGGGACTCTTAATTTTTTGTATCTCATAGACTTACATGGGTTAAAATTTATGAGTAAGCCAGGTTTTTAAAAAAATCTGAAACATTTCGGGGGGGGGGGTTGAACCCCTAACCCCCTCCCCCCCTCGCTACAGGCCTGGAAAGCGGTCCCCCTTCCTTCTTTCCATTTCCACATGATTCATGAAGGGGAAAGAGGATAATTGTGGCTTCATCTTTAACTTTTTATTTCTTCTTTCTTGACCAGGACATGAGGGTTCTATGGAGCCACCTCTGGAGTGACAAGAAACAAACCATCTTCTAGTGGATATCGAGGAATTTGGAAACCAAAGAGCAATAAGGAAACCAGTCCTATAGGAAAAAGAAACCCTCTCAAGGTGCTGATCACACTGTAGATAATAATAATAATAATAATAATAATAATAATAATAATAATAGATCAGAAAGGGAAAAACAAGAATCGAGTGTCCATCTTGCAATTATATCATAGAATCATAGAGATGGAAGACACCTCGCAGGCCATCCAGTCCAACTCCCTGGCAAAAGGCGGGAAAATCGCATTCAAAGCACATAACACTATCAAAATGGAGGATGAAGATTATAAATGTATTGAATCTGGAGAGGGCTTTAGTCAGCATGGACATCTGAAGACACATCAAAGGACTCGCACTGGGGAGAAACCCTATAACTGCTTGGAATGTGGGCAGAGTTTCACTCAGAGGCGAAATCTACAGTCCCATGAAAGGTTGCACACGGGGGAGAAACCCTATAAATGCCTGGAATGCGGACATGGCTTCACTAGAAGTGGACATTTACTTTCACATCAAAGGACTCACACTGGGGAGAAGCCTTATAAATGCCTGGAGTGTGGACAGAGCTTCACTGACGGAAAAAATCTACGTAGCCACCAAAGGACTCACACTGGGGAGAAACCTTATAAATGCCTGGAGTGTGGAAAGAGCTTCACTCAGAGTGGCGGTCTACGTACACATGAAAGGACTCACACTGGGGAGAAACCCTATAAGTGTATGGAGTGTGGAATGTGTTTCACTGAGAGTGGAAGTCTACATACACATCAAAGAACACACACTGGGGAGAAACCCTATGCATGCCTGGAGTGTGGAATGAGCTTCACTCAGAAGGGACAGCTACGTTCACATCAGAGGACTCACACTGGAGAAAAACCCTACACATGCCTGGAGTGTGGAAAGAGCTTCATTGAGGGTGGAAGCCTGCGTTCACATCAAAGGACTCACTCTGGGGAGAAGCCATATAAATGCCTGGAGTGTGGAATAAGCTTCGCCCAGAAGGGAAATCTACATTCACATCTAAGGAGTCACACTGGAGAGAAACCCTATAAATGCCTGGAGTGTGGACAGAGCTTCTCTCAGAGTGGAGACCTACGTACCCATCAAAGGACTCACACTGGCGAGAAACCCTATAAATGCCTTGAATGTGGACAGAGCTTTACTAGGAGCGGGTATCTCCTTTCACATAAAAGGACTCACACTGGGGAGAAACCTTATGAATGCCTGAAGTGTGGACAGAGCTTCAGTCATAGTGGAAGCCTACGTTCACATCAAAGGACTCACACTGGAGAGAAACCCTATAAATGTCTGGAATGTGGACAGAACTTCACTCAGAGTGGAGCTCTACGTTCACATCAAAGGACTCACACTGGGGAGAAACCCTATAAATGCCTGGAATGTGGACAGAGCTTCAGTTATAGTGGAAGCCTACGTTCACATCAAAGGACTCACACTGGAGAGAAACCCTATAAAT